TTTTTTCGAACCATACACGGATTATAACCCAGTCCTTCTTTTCACTGTAGACAAGCCATGATCTGCTTCTCTGTTCTCCATTTTTCATTTGGATGAAATAATAGCTGCATGAATCATGACAGCAGACAAGATAGAGGAGAGCAGGAGGCGGGGTTACCAATCTACTTGCTCTGGAGAGCAGAGTTCGCTGCTTTTAGATGTTGTCTTCAAACAGAGCATTTTAGCAAAATGATTTTTGTCAAAAACATAATGTGCACAAATAAGTAATAGTTGAATTAACCATAAATGTAGAAGGAGTTTTATGGGGCCCCCAGGAACTTGGGGCCCTAAGCAACTGCCTAGTTTTCCTTTATTTATATATAGTTTTCCTTTTTTGCAGTGTAGATAACTAGTGTTATGAACTATATTTACAGCTGGATAATTACAGGTGGATATTACAATAAAAAGGGTTTTTACAGTTATGTACAATAGCATATATACAGATGGATTTCACTATAAAACTAATAAAGTTTGGACAGAAGCTATCTACATTAAAGGGCAGTGGAAGATAATTTCATATTACAGTTTAAGTATGTTATTGCAAATGTACTTTAACTGTAATTTAATGATTTTTAATGACCCGTGGAAACACTGCTCACCAACACATCCCCTTGGACAACTTCTAAGCACATTCTGGTGACATATTGAAAGTTTTTTCTGAATATCTTTGTCTATTTCAATTAAATTATTGTACTTTAACCACCAAACCATTAGGAATTAAAACTTCTCTCATTAAAGCAGAAAAAGGTTTGCTGGTAGTGGCGTATTTGAGGTTAATACTAAATATTTGAATTTTTTAGCCCTACAGTGAAAACAGAACAAAAACACAGACACACTCCAGCCTTTAAATTATTTAATAAATTATTTACTTTACAGGATTATTAGAAACATTTAGGGATGGTTTGCATTTCCTCCCTCTTCTGTTTGGAGTCTGGATCATCTTCTGTTCTTTGAAATTTCCTCTTCATCCAGAAAAAATCTGCTAGAGTCTCTTCTGCAGTTTTATAGAACAAGAAACAACTAAATCAAGAACATTTAGTTGTTTTTTGTCCAACTGTTAAGCTGAAACAGATCCTTTACTTTTACTCCAAAGAAAAGAAACCAAGCCGTGATGAAATTTGGTCTTGAAAACGTTGAGCTCAGAATTTCCTGAACGGCAAATAGAAAAACACAAGCAGGCCGCAGATCAGCTCCAAATATTGTTTTTTTCTCCCATCGACATTGTTCGTTTTCTCTTCACATTACAGCAGAAAACAGGTCGAAGTTTAAAAGTGCAAATCTGCGAAGTCATCCTCCCGCATCCCCCATCTATGCCTCCTTCATTGCTTTATATATATTCCACATCAAATAGAAAATATGACGGCAATATGTGGATTTTGTTGTATGACGAACAAAATCCGAATATTAATTTTATCCCTGAAAACAATGTGAAGGTCACAGAAGCCTCAGGGGGGGCGGGGTTTCTGTTTGATGCCTGTAGCTGAATGCGATCAGTTCATTCTAGCTGAAAATGAAAATGAAAATGAGACACACTGGTGCTGTCCGCTCGTGATGACCCTCGACTCAAAACCTCTTGGGATGAAGGTAGAACAGTCCGATTTACATCCATGGAGCCATCACAGGGGCTTCCTTCTGTACCTGCTGAGAAATAAAAGAGATATGAAGTCAGAGTTGTGCAAAAAGGGAGCAGTTTTATTTAAAACAAGCATTTTGAATGTTTATGCATGCAGATTTAACAATGCTTTAGTTAGATGCAATGCAGAAAAGTTTCATTTTGAAAAATTCCACAAACAATAAAGGATTGAGGATTTGTCTGTCACTGTAAGTTTCTTACAGAATAATATCCTTGTACTTTTGATCAGACTACGACTTCAAACACCAAGCAATGCTAAATGTGGATCTGAAAACTGAAAGGTGTGGCAGAAAACGATCTAGAAATAAGAAAAAATGTCTTCAATTAAGTGTATTTACCCTTAATTTAAGTAGTTAAATGAGATAGTTTGCCAATGGAATGAGAATAACAAGTTGGTCTTTCTTGACATTCATTTTTGACATCAAAATATCCCTTTTTTTTATGTTACAAAGGTAAAAAGGTATTGTCCGGGATTCAAATAACACTATTGGCTTAAAATTTTTATTTTCAAAATATTTCACACAGTGTCCTATAAAGGGTTAAATGTATGTTAATTATTTCTATTTACCTTGTTTAGTTCTGGAAACATTTCTTGAATGACGATGTCCAGCAGCACATAAGTCAGCTGATCAAGAAAACGAGGAAGAAAAACGTGGGAAACATTAAACCCGAGATGCATTTCAGAAAAGAGCAAATAAAAAAGTAAATAATGATAAAAATATTTTCTAATAGAAACATTAAAGTGGATTTATCCAAAACTTTACTTTAAACGTTTTTTTTAATGATAATGTCACTGAGTTTTCCTAGCCTGGTGAGACCATCCTGATCTCGTGAGCTTTCAAGGTTTCACTCGCTTATCAGTCTGGAGACTCTCCGTTAAAGAAAATTTGGAGCCGTTCACCAAACGAACGTCCAATCAGCGTTGGCTTTGAGGCGGGTTGAGGTGT